AGATACGCTGGAATCAGTTCACTAGGAGAACATTTTACTCTGAATGTCATGGCTGTTTTTATAAATTTTTTCGTATGTCGTTGGATAAATATTTCTAAAAATTTAAGTATAAAAAAATTTTACTTCAAATGGTTTTTAAGTTAATGATTTTATTCAAATTGTTTTGTCAAATCGTCTATAATAAAAACCAATAAAGTTATTATTATTTTACTACAAATTTATCTTTCTTAAAAAAGTAAAAATTAATGAAAAAAATGTTATTTTTTACTGAGACTCAACGTTTTTATTTTCATTACTTTCAAGATCAAGTTTTCTTTTTCTTGTCATGAAGATCTTATTTTGCATTACAAAGTAGATAAATATAATTGTTTTGATTAATAAAATAAAACATTGTCATAAAACTTTAAACTTCAAATTTGCATAAAAACTTGCTATATCTATAGACAAAAATGAGTAAAATTAAAGCAAAAAAATATTAGATACCATGTTTTTTAGAATTTATTGTTTCTTGATCTGTTACTTTAAAAAATTTAAATATAATAAATGTACTATTAAAAATTTAAGTATAAAAAATTTTTACTTCAAATGGTTTTTAAGTTAATGATTTTATTCAAATTGTTTTGTCAAATCGTTTTTGTCAAATTAGTTTTTAATACACCCATATTAGTTTTTAATACACCCATATTAGTTTTTGATAGAGAATGTTTGTGCAAAAAATGCTCTAGAAATTTCATGCTGTGCAATTTTTGAGCTTCTTTAGAAAACATACCTATAGGAAATATAAATTGTCTTACAACTTCATGTCATGTAATAAAATGTAAACTTTGTAACACCATGAAGAAAATTCTACATTATCTATTTGCAACATTTATACATTATGCCTTTACAATCAGTTACACTTACACTGACTCTATTGTTTGGCATAAGTTGTACTTTTGCATCTTAAAGATTGCAAGAAGGATTAAAGATTGCAGTTTTCTTTATTTTTATCAAATTAGATCCGAGTTTTAAGATTTTTTTAGTAAAATTTCATAAAGTTCATAAAAGTTCATAAAGACATCATTCATCCATGAAAGATTCATCCATGACCAACCCTCATCCCGATTAAAAAACTTTTTGCAGCCTAATTGAAGTTTTTAACTGCCTATAGTTTTAGTCACTTTGACTATATACAGTTGAAACATAAAATTTTATAAATCATTTTTTATTTTAGAAAATTATATATATAGTTATCGCTAAGTTATCATTAATTAAAAATGAATAATTAAGGTATTGTTTATGAATAATTAAGGTATTGTTTATGAATAATTAAGGTATTGTTTATGAATAATTAAGGTATTGTTCATGAATAATTAAAGTATTGTTTATGAATAATTAAGGTATTAATTATGAATAATTAAGGTATTGTTTATTTATTGTTTATGTTTATTAAGAAAATGCAAGCTAACAATGCATTTGAAAATCTAACTCCCAAAATGTTTAATTTGATGTATAAAACACTATATTAGTGTTAATATACTGCTTTATACAATTAGTGTTATTAGAAGAAATATTGAAAAAAAAGAAAAGAAAACTAGAAGATGAAAATAAAAAGTTTCAGAGTCAATGGAAAAATCTTTTTTATTCAAATGACTGTTTGTCATACAATTACAATTTTTAAACTTAACAACCTAAAACGACACTTTGAACAAAATATGGTGAAATTGATAAACTTACTGTTTATCAATTTCGTTTTAAAAACTGTTGATGAACGAAAAGTTAAGTTACAATCCTTGAAAAACAATTTGATGTCTCAACAAAATATATTTCATAAGCAAACTGCACAATCAAACATCATTATGCAATCAAACAGTGCTAGCTTTGGAGTATCTCACATTGTTGCTAAAATAAGCTTTTTACAGATGGTAGCTATATCAAAGATATAGCTACCGAATGTCTAATTGCAGCAGTTAAAGAAATCTGTCCAGAAAAACTGAATCTTTTTACTGAAATTAGTGTTTCATGTCAAACTATAGAAAGTAGAATAGAAAAGATTTTGAGTGAAATTTGTGCATCGCTAAACACAATTACAAAAAGATTTATATATTTCTCACTAGCCTTGGATTAAATGCCAGATATTAATGATATATATAATGACAACTTACTATTTTTATTAGAGGTGTCGACAGTTAAATGAATATTACTATAGAATTACTCAAACTTGTAAGTTTGAAAGGTACTATAACCGGAAGAGAGTTAAATATGTCTCATGAAATGAAAATTGTTGTCAAGGTAATTAATTCAATTAAAAACAATTGATTGAAGCCTCGCCAATTTCAAGAATATCTTAGTAAACTGGAATCTAAATTAATAAAAAACGTTCTCATTTATTATACTAAAATTTGATGGATGATTGATTGAAAAAATTGCTTATTTCAATTTTGGAAATTAAGCCTCATGATTAAGGAGGAAGGTAAGGTGTTAGGGGTGATTATAAATACAGTATAGTTAATGTTTATTGTCGTTGTAGTTATGATATATGTATAACACAACTTTTATGTACAGCTGCAGCAAACACTGTAAAAATGCAAATTTTGAATACTGCACGAAAATAAAATATTTTGAATAATTTGTTGTTTTATTTTTGTGTGTTATTTTTTATGTAACCTCAGTTCAGTAAACTATATTTTGGCCCACCAACTAATTTTGCTTGGACACCTCTGATTTAAGTAGTTAGCTAACTTTTTGTCTGAATCAGCTGATGATAGTACATATTCTTGAGTTCTCTAGTAGCTTGTTTACCATTAAGAAAGGATTTTTACTTGAAGTGTTTTTATATATAATATGTTAGAAAAATATGTTCTTTTTTTAATTTAAGCAAAAATTGTTGAGGCGTATATATTCTTTTTTGTCCCTTTTATTTTTTGTTCTCTTAAACAATTTTTCAGCTTTTCTTCCTTTTTATCTAAGTTGCATATATTTTCAGTAAAAGCAATGAGCTGTTTTGACAGCATGTTACTCTTTTTTTCTGTTTTGTTCTATTTTAAAATCAATGAGAAATTTGTCACTCAAATTTAAGTCCCAGTTAGCATAATAACTGATATTTCATTTGGCTTCTTAACTGATACAACTAGTGTCCCAATTTATGAGTTGGTTCCATGACCTGTTGTGTAAGATTTAATACTATATTTAGTATTTCTTTAAAGTGCTATATTGTTCTTTATTATCCAAGTTTATATTTATATAACTAGCTATAACGTATGTGCAACCTGTTGATACTACTGTTTTAAGTAAATCTATGAATTTCTCCAGAAATGTTACATGAGAAACAAATATTAGTCTATAAATCCAAATAATAAAATTAGTGATCCTTTGGCTACAATAATTTTAACATATATTCAAAGGAGACAAAATGTGTATTTGGTAATTGTTGTGCTTAATTGATTGTTTTAACATAATTCCTACCCCATAACCTTTTTCTTTATCTCTTTTTTTAACAGTTGTTTTATTTTTATGAGCTGAGTTTTGATATCAATAACATTAAATTGTAGGATGTGCATACTCAATGTTTCTGATTTAGATATTTTGAGGTTGGTTAAGCATACATCACAGAAGAACAGAAATTTTTTCTTTTTTGAAGGGATAAGAAAATTTAAAACTGTGATTTTGCTTGATACTTTATCTACTTTTGGAATAGATAAACAAACAACTTGAAATTTTCATTTGCATACATAACATTGAATACTTTCTGTTACTGATGGTGTATTTTCTCAGGCAGGACAATAACCATTATTGTCTAAACTGCTGGTAACCCACATTCTTTGGATTTTTTTCTTGACATGTCTTAAATGGGAAAACCCCCTTTTTGTAGGGATTAATGTTTTGTGGAAATGCACGGATTGTAGAAATTAATGTTTTGTAGTGTAGTGTTTAGTTATTAATGTTTGGCAACTAAAATATTTATATATTTATTTGAAATGAAAAAACAGATTATAAAAGAAAAGATTTTTGCTATTTGATATTATTAAGTCTGTCAAATATAAATCAAAAAGGTTTCAGATTTGTATTTCTATTACATATTCTCATATCTTAATATAAATTTTGCATGTGATATCACCAAAGAAAATTGTTACGTTTTCAAAAATGTAACAATTTTCTTTGTTGATATCAATTATTATAAGTTTAGGAGTTCTAGTTGATTATATGCTCTGGTACTTACGGAACACAAAAAAACATTGCATTAAACTTTAGTGATACCACATACAAAATTTGTATGTGGTATCAACAAAGTTTAATGCTATGTTTTTTTGCGTCCCGTAAGTAACAATAATCAACTTTCCTAAACTTATCATAATTGAACAAAATTTCAATAGAGGAAAACATAAAAATGATTTAGGGATGATTCATAAATATATAAACATCTAATCTGTTAAAATAAAAAATATATATCTAAAAGTGTGACATTACAAAAATCAATATGTCCCATAAGTAACGATGAAATTGCCCTCCTACTCAATGAACCTCAAAAATTGTGATGAAATGTGCTTGAAAAATGGATAGCAATAAAAAAGTAGGTTTAAAAAACAATTAGAACATTATATATATCCAACCCTCGGAATTAGGGTTGGCATTCGGCAATGCCAACCTAACTGCTGACTTGAAAGTGTTTGAGGTCAGCAAAAACTACCGGCCTCATTTCTATGTTTTATGGTTAGACCTTTGTATCAAATAGTTATTGCTGACCTGATGCCGAGCTCAAAAAGATCGAGGTCAGTAAATTATTGCCCACCTCATTTTTCCTAATTCTGAGGGTTGTACATCTGAAATGTAAAGAGTTAAATATTAAAAATTGAAGTAAAACCTTAAACACAAATTTAATTTTAAAATCATGAAACTAAGTTCAAATTAATAATATCTGAGATAAAATGATGTTGAGCTGGAGTTTAAAAAAAGTTTGAATTAAAACCTAAACATGTATTTTAAACACACGTTCAGCATAGGAAAATGAGTTTAAAACTTACAATTAAATCAGTATAAAATTGACCATTTTCTGCAATAGGTTTAAGATGTATAAATAGTGTGTCTTTGTATTTGAAGTAAAAAATCACCAAAAACAGAATAACGAGGAGGAAAAAAACACTGACAGCAACAACAGCTGCTATTGTAGAATCTTTTGTAGCAGGAACATCTTAAACAACAAATTTTAATAAACTTATATTAATGTATTATTATTTATAGTTTTACAATTTACATTTTTTAACATGCTAAAAGTAATTATTTTATGTGTTAACTTACCTACATTAACTATGATTGATGCAAATGAGCTTCCAATGCTGTTGTTGCCTGTACAAACAAAAACATTTTTCTTCTTCAGTTTTTTTATAGGAAGAACATATTTAAAACGCCATTCATTTTTAGAAGAAATAGGCTTTTTTTCAATAGATATAATTGTCTCATTTTTTGACCATGAGATAAACGGAATTGGATATGCATTTACCAAACATGTAATGCTAATACTTTCTCCTTCTTTAACTTTTATTTCTGTTCCATCTTCAATCTCGACATATGGTGCAGCTAAAAATTTGAAATCAATAACAATATATTATTTAATTTTTAAATTTTATTTTATATATAAGTTCAATTTTTTATTTATTTATTAAAGCAATAAGTTATCCATCAAAAACTCAAATGTAAATATTAAAATTCATAAAAGAATTGATAAAGCAATTTGTTGCTTTTAAGCGCATTAATTAAGACTATACTATCTTATTACCAATAAGTTTAGATATCAAATATAATAAAGAAATATAATAGAGAAATTGTCATATCAAAAATCGTATATATATATATATATATATATATATATATATATATATATATATATATATATATATATATATATATATATATATATATATATATATATATATATATATATATATATATACATATATACATATATACATATATATACATATATACATATACATATATATATATATATATATATATATATATATATATATATATATATATATATATATATATATATATATATATATATATATATATATACACACTTGGTGCATGCTTGGATCTTTTTTTAATTTTCTTGCTTCTTTCTGGCTTTGATCACTGAAACCTTGTCCAATATTTCCTTCCCCTCAATCAAGCTGTGAAATTTAATAACTGAAACAATTTTCTTGCTTTTGGTGTAACTCTCTTATTGGCAGCAATGAATTTTTTAACAAAACATTTTTACTACTGATTTTAACAAAAAAATATTTCTACTAAAGATTTTTTATATACTGTTTAATAATATATTGCTGAGCTGTAGCAAACATATTATCAAACATATTGTCATTTTTGAGGACAATAACTGTTTGGTTTTAATTTTCAATATATCAACTATTTCATCATTATTTGTTTCAACTACTTTCAGTATTATATGTTCAATATGTCAATTTTGCTCTAATTAACTTGATTTTGAACCTTCTTAGATCTGGGTTCTTGGAACCTAGCCAGTCATAACAAAGTCCTACACTTTAGATTTTTTTTAATGCCCACTCTGAACATAACTTAGTAAGTACCTTCATTAAAATTATCATTATCTACTTCTTTTAGAGCCATGTGGGCACTGATACCTGTGTAGTACATAGTTATATCTTTTAGAGCCATGTAGGCACTGATACCTATGTAGTACATAGTATCCTGATACCTATGATACTGATACGTATGCACTACACTGTATTACATAGGTACAGTGTACTACATAGGTACATACATACTGTACTACGATACTGATACCTATGTAGTACACTATGATACTGATATCTATGTAGTACACTGATACCTATGTAGTACATAGCAGGCTTGGTCAGGAAGCGGGAGTGATTGCTCTCGAATACTGACCACAGAAATTATATTTAGTTGCAAAAAACTGGCCAGGTTTTTTAGCTGTTTTGAGAACATTTAAGTTTATGTACGAAACAAAAAATTTTTGTTTTACGGACATACATGGAAACATAAGAAACTTAAATGTTCTTAAAACATCTTGGTACGAAAGAATAAAAAGAATATTCGCTAACACTAAAAACCCGCCAAACTAACGAACAAACTAATTCTATTAGTTCAAAAAATATGCTGACTAAGCGAAATAAAGTTATAGAGTATTCTATTGAAATGTTTTAGAATTTGTATTATTCACGATTTGTTATGTTTTGAGATTTCTAACATAAATTGTTTTAAGAATATATTATCAATACTATGGCTCATTCTCGGAGCCACATCTACAAAGCTGTAAACTATTATTATTTGTTTACAAAAATTAATGTTTTAAATATATATTATTTAAATTGTCAAAATTTTGAAAGTTTATTATAGACTATAGATTTTATTAGTATAATCTTATTTTTATTTAAAAAGTATGTATTCTTTATATAAATTTAATTTTGTGTATCTGTTTTATCGTAATATATCTTTTAAAGCAATTTTTATGATTTAATTTGTAAACAAAAACTTACAAAAATATTTGCGTTTTCAATAAAGTTAATAATAATCATTAAAGTTAATAAAACTAATTATGTAACAAATATATAAGAAGTTTCTGATTACTAAACACAAACAACGCATACAAAGTATTTCGCAGATGAACAAGCACCGCGCCTAAGGTCACGATAGAACACAAATATATCTAGCAAATTATTAGATATAAACTAAAGTTTCTAGATATTGGTTTACTAACTCTAATTATTTTTGCTTCAGTTGCCATTTCTAAAAACTCGTTATACTTTTTTCTGTTTTAAATACTAATTAAAATTAAAAAAACCCACTCACTAAACATCGTCAGCAATATTGTGAAGCAGTTTTGTTTCCTCGTCATATAGTATTTTTAACCTTTTTAAGTTGATTTCTATCTAGGTAATTTAATTTCTTTAGTAATTCAATGATTTAATTATTTCATTTGTTTATCTTACTAAGAAGAATTGCTTCAAATATGTTAAACTTTTTAAACTACGCGAAACATAAAATAGGTAATAAAAAAAATAACTTTTTTATTTATAAAATAATTTAGCTTAAATAAAACTAAAACTTGCAAACTTTGTTAAATAAAGAACATTTGTTTCCTTTTTAAACAATCGTAAGATGTTACTTTATATAAAAAACGTCGCTTAATTTTATAAAAAAAAATTATGATAGAGCGATGTTTCAAAATATTTGTTCTAAACGTAATTTATTTTGCTTTAAGTTTTTTCGCGTTAAAAGATTTTTTTTTCCTAATTTTTTTTTTTTTTGTAATTGTCTCTCATCAGTCCAATTAATCTTAAGCGCAATTTTATTTTGCTTTTTGAAATGTTCTCAAAACGACTAAAAAATCTGGCCAGCTTTTCGCAACTAATTATTATTGCCGTGGTCAGCAATCGAAAGCGACCGCTCTCATGCTTCCTGACCAAGCCTGACATAACTATGTCTTCTTCAAAGAGAAAAAAAAACAATGCACAGTTATAATACAAATTTCCTAATTTTCCATTTTTTAACAGTTTTCCTCTCACCCAGCATACACTTAATCACAGGGAGTACCATTAACTCCATAGTTCACAATGTGGGTTCATCATGATTCAAACTGTGGCGGTATTAATATCTTGTCATACACTCTTTTCTGATTGATTTGAATCAATGAACATAAAAATTTTAAAAGTTCTTTTGTTAATTTGTTAAGGTACCATTTCTTTTGTGCAATTATGGGCACTATTTATAGATATAGTTCTTATAACATTTAGCATCCCAATCCTTCCATAAAAACTTGGAGGGCTTGTTGTTCATTCAATAATAGTTTTTTGACACCTGCAGATGTTTCAGTAGGGTCACTTTCCTACTTACAGAACATTAAACACCATTCTTTTCAACTCAAATGTGTATAAACCTTGGAGGTATCTAAACAAATTATCATAATATGCATATCCACACTAGGGAGTGTCAATTTTAAGCTTAAAATCAAACATTTTTTTAATAAAGAAATTATACAGTGATAATGGAAGGATTTATATATGAAATAGCTGCATTTTTTTTTTGCTTTTATGTGTTTTAATGAATTAATTTTTTTAAATATTTAATTTTTTTATTCATTCAAATAATGAAAAACTACTTTGAACCCATAAAATTTTAAAATTTGTAAATGATTAAAAATTTGGCAATAATGATGGTTTTTTTGTGGGTAATATTTTTCTGTGTTATAGTCATGTTTTAAAATATTGCAAAACTTTAATCAAGAAAGTGCATGGCACCCAAAGGAGTACAGTTATATACAGGGGTGTGGAGTTGTAATAAAAAAGTAACGAATCCGACTCCAGTTGTTGGAATTTTTGAGTACAACTCCGACTCCAGTTGTTAAAATTTTTTGAGTGCAACTCCGACTCTGACTCCAACTCCGACTCCGACTACAACTCCAAAGCAAAACTTTTGAAAAACTCTGAATTTTTTAAAAAGTATTACGCAATATGTTAAAAACTTTTTTTTGACAAATTTATGAAATGTTCTTTGAGGTTTAGTATGAACATATGGTTAATTGAATGTTTTGTATATGCACGTACAATACCGAGAAGTTTTACTATAGGAGTCAGAGTCGTGATATTGTTTAGCGACTCTGACTCTGCTAAAAATGAAGTAACTCCGCAACTCCAACTCCACAGCCCTGGTTATACAGTTACCTCAGATCTGCTAATAAAAGTTGTAAAAAAGGGCTTGTTATGTGACCTCACATCAAAAACACTAATTAAAAAGAGTTATATAGCTACTTCCATAGGCACTATGCAATACCTACTGCTATGTTGAAGTAATGCAATCCCTACAACTTAATATTGCTAGTTGGATCTAGTGCTTATTAATTAGTGCAAGTTAAAAGTATTTTAATAATATGCAAATAAAAAAAACAAACTCTTTAAGCAGAGATTTCAGATCCATCAGAGATTTTTTTCATAACATCATTTTTTTTTAGCATTTTCACAGTATGACTGTCTAAAAAACATTTTTTGATCTCTTTTTACTTAAGATCTTTTCCTGCTGAATTCTGAATTTCAACTTTATAACCACATTTTGGTAATGTCAACTATCATTAATCAAACTTTTAATTTTACTGTTGTTTTAGACAACTTTTTAAATAATGTGAAGTGTATAATTTTTTATTAACCACATATTTCACCTAATTACTGTAGTGCAGTCAATTGGTGCAAACTTTGTGCTATTTAGGGTAAAAGCATGAAACTTGGTGGACATGTTGAAAAGGTTAAAACATTCATTTTAAGACTCAGACCCACTTTCAAAATGACCATAGATGGTCTCCATGGACACTAGCACCTGTCCATAGCAACAAAATTTTATTTTTTCAAAATCTAATAACTTATACACCAATCGAAAGCTCAATAAAAATGAAGCAAAAAATATAAAAACACTATATAAAAAAAAATAACTGATAACAAGTTAGAGGGCTTTAAATAATTACTAATCCAGGGGGCAAAATAGATATAAAGTATTGTGTGCAAAACAAAGTTATAAATAAGCATTAAAAAAAAAAGACA